CCAAGGCGTTCAGTACGTGCAGCTTCAGAACTACCAACCTCGTCCTATGCTAATGTGGCAGCAGATCATCTTCCCTTCGTCGATTTCCCAGAGGGATCCGGAACATATATCCCTTGCGGAGACGTTGCTGACTATCTTGAAGATTACCAAAGAACTCTTGGTCTTCACGTGTTGACCTCAGCACACATTTCTGCTACTTCATATGACGCTTCGTCAAGTACCTGGACATTATCTGTGTCTCTTTCAGGAAAAGCCTCTATTACTGTGACGGCCCGGTACATGATTGTCGCAATAGGCGTTGGCACGATGGGAGGTGCACTCCCGTTCATGCCTTCGATTCCAGGAAAAGTACGCAAGCAGGACTGAATTCTTTGTTGATGCTGACCCTCCACATGCAGAGCTCCTTCCTCGGTTCTGTCATCCATTCAAGCGAATACAAGTCTTCCTCCTGCGTCGGCGCGCAGAAAGCTGTCGTCGTCGGCGCAGGATGCTCTGCGCACGATATTGCTCAGGACATGGTAAATTGTGGGTCTCAGACAGTGCTTGTCCAGCGTTCCCCGACCGCCGTTGTGAGTCGCCAGATGATCAATAGCCTGCTTACCGGTAATCTCAGTGTACTTGCTGTAAATATATCTATATTGATTTGGCTCGTAGGATATGTCGGGCAGGACGTTCCTCCAACAGAGATCGCCGACCGCTTCTATGTCGCTCTCCCCTTGTCAGCTCTGCAAGATTCCCAGTACAACGCCATGGAGATGCATGCCCATATTGATCAGTTCGTTGGCAACATTCGAAAGTAATCTCTTCGTCTCACCCTTTTTCCTTAGGGACCTCAGAGAGAACTTGTCCCGGCATGGATATCTCCTTCCCGGCCCTGAGGACAACTTCTTTCACCGTCTCTCAATTCGACGGGGTAAGTTTGTTTGCTCTGTATCGTTCTATTTTTCTCATCGGCATTCCAGGTGGCTTTTACATCGACCGGGGTTGTGCACAGCTCATCACGTCTGGCAAGGTATTATTAACTTTGCTGAGTTCCCCCACGCATGTTGCTCACTAGCAACCAGATTACTGTCAAGTCCGGGCATGAGATCTCCCACTTCTCCCCTTCCGGGTTGGTATTCGATGATGGTTCGCGAGTAGTGACCGACCTTGTCATCTTCGCAACTGGGTAAGTCTTTTAAACATCTATCCGTCTGATCGCGCACTTCTAACGCACCATTTACAGGTACTCGAAAACTACAATCAAACAAGTTGCTGCGAACCTTTTTGGGCCTCAGGTCGCTGATACCGTCCATGACCTCGGAGGATTAGATAGTGATTATGAGTTCGCAGGTATTTGGAGGCCGACTGGACGTCAGTATTCTGTTGATTTGATTGTGCGATTCAATGATGCTGACATTCTGCTCCAGATAATGAACTCTGGTTTGCAGAGGGCGATCTCTTTGCTGCACGGTTCTACTCCCAGTTCCTTTCATTACAGATAATGGCGAGGGAGATGGGATTGCTAAGTCCAGACCAGAGAACTTACACCCCATGTTGATTTCTGCCATTAGCTTCTCACTTACCCTAAATATTATGTACATGAGATGTCCTTGGCAGCTGGCTCCTGTCACTTGCGAATTGCCACTAGTATTATTTATATGCTTCCATGAGAGTGATTTGATGCTGTGAACACGGTTGGTGCAATAAAAAGTCTGCAGTATATGATATTCTGTCCGATTTGAATGGTTCGAGTGTGGCTGTGCACTCAACTCCGTCCTTGGTACTTTTCGAAATTCCAAGTCGCGCTGATCCCCAGACGACTCCCCGCGATGTCCCAGCACACAAGAAAGAAGTTCTCACCAACTTCCTCGTCAGACTCTACTATGTTTATGTAGATCTCCACTTTGCTTACCTCGAGATCAACCCCTTGGTCGTCCTCGATCATCTTGATGACGGCTCTATTCACTACCTTGACATGGCTACGAAGCTCGACCAGACAGCCGAGGGCATCGGCGGTCAAAAGTGGGCTGTCGCAAGACTTTTGACAGTCTATGAGACCGCTCCGGCTACACCTACCATTGGCTTCAAGGTAAACGTTAATTGTGGTCCACCTGTTGTTTGGTCTGCTCCGTTTAGTAGAGATTTCACAATGGAAGAGGGTACGTACTCCGTCTATCGTCACTGGTCGTTTGTGAACAATGGTCGCAGGCGGTGGTGCATCCGTCGTCTACAGCGACGCTATCGCAGCAGCACGTTTCACACGTGAACTCGCAAACCACGGTGAATACTCTGGTGCCCCAAACGAGGGTCAGACTTTCGAATATGCCAACGCAATCTATATGGGGCATCGTGAAAATGCTGCACCACTGATGCGGTGCTCCTAAATGGTGTTGGTGAGTGCGCATTACATAACTACACTTACTGCTAATCACTAGAACCTCCCGGTGCTTGTTCTCCAAACGAACGATGGACTCGAGTGTGCTCCGATTCCTTATATGTATATCCACGCTCTCAGAGTCACGGTCAGGCGATATAATTGAAGTACTGCCGGTCTGCAAATCAGGTCCCCAATATATTGTTTCAACAAATATCTTTCTCGTTGCTAAATGATGGTTCATATCGCATTGTAGTCCGATGCCTCCGCATACAATGTTATTTTTATTTCTTCTTAGTGAGTGACTAGTTGACTGCGCAGTTGCAGGCATTATCTGAAGCCCGACGCAGTCAGTGCCACCTTTCTTCGCGTTCTTCGTCCTCCATGGGGATTTTGTTACCTGTTGCTTCCGAGGTCCTGATGTCCGTTGCTCGACATAGCTGCTGTTGGCCCGTGCTAAGCTGATTGTTGACTAGACCGTTTCAAAAGTCAGTACCTCAAGCTCAATTGCGTCATAATCACATCTCTGCCTTGATGCGGTCAACACTGTAGAGAACAGAATATGTTTCAGCGACTGACAACTGAGTACTGAGATCCAGACAGTCCAGCAACACCTGTGTACAGTCCCACAGCTCGGACATGATGATTGACAGCTACGATGGACTCAAACTGAGCATGCTGATGGTGAAGTATGTGAGGAGGGTGGGCGTGGTCACGATCGCCATTGTGCTGGTAACATATGCCACAGTGAAATTGGTAAAGGATGGATGTGACTTTGCCGGGGCATTCCTGATTTGAACGAGTTTTCTTCCACAGTTATAGGAAGTGTGCAGTTGACTGATGAGCGTGATTTTGCGTGTGGCAAGACGTGTGCAAGTTGAAACAATGATTCCAAGGCCAAGACACGTACACCATGATCGAACACCATCTTGCCAGTTCTCAGCAACGTTGCTTCGTCTCTTATCGCCTCCTCAGTTCCTGTTGGCCCATTGTTCTATTGAGAAATCTGTCTGATGGGCTCCTTCCCAAGAAAACAGGCAATCATAACTTCCGAATCAGGCCAGCCGTCCCAGAGCTCAGATAAATCAGCATGGGTATCTTTCGCCCACGGCCCGATTGATACCTGACTTAGCGTAATACTATCGTTCTGTTTGAGTGGGTCCTTTGGGGAGGCAGGTACCTTGGTTTCTGGAAAAAGTTGATGACAACATATGTATATGAGTCGCGGGTGCCGGGGCGTCACGGTCATCGCGGTCATCCGATATCGGGGTCACCCATATTTGGGGGGTGCTGCGACACTATACTTACAGTTACTTGCTGGAAATAAACTCAAGTTGTATATATGATACGTGGTCTTTCAGCAGTTATTTTGCACATCATATTGCAGACTCGCATCGTGATTATAATACATACTTTCATGGTAAATTTTCGTATGCATCGGAGAAACCAGAAAGCCGAAGCCTGAAATCTGGGGACTCGGGAGTTGAAACGCACTAGAAATTAGTCTTCGCAGGACAATAATAACATCAGGTAAATGACCCGAAAATGATAAATTATTAGCAAGCTTTATCTCGTCTAAAATTTGCATAATACCTATCAGAATTGTATACCACTCGAGAAAGCTTTGAATACCCGGACTTAGTTGGGTGGAAGCCGCCAAATATACAATTATGGCAGTCCGGTTGCAATAGTCCACAACTAGGTGACAGTGCTCGCGCTTGACAACTCTATCACGGCGGGCGGGTATTATAATATGTGTCATCTTGGTGGTAAGTTGGCAATACACGACAATTTTGACTTGCCCTGGCCATGACATGTAACCTTTGACTGCTTTGACTTCCTTCACAATCTCTGAATAGGTGTCAGTGTCGGTTATAAAATTATATGGCTGGACTATGTTGGACTAAATTGCCTACAACCCAAGGGTGCCGAACATCCGCAACGCGGTACCAAGCTGTATCAATGCGGTTGCCTTATGCAAGCACAGCTTGCTCTTACACCCCCGACAAGAACTTCCCCAGCGCTGACATTAGGTAAGTACTTGTCATGCTATCCTGTGCTAGCTACATCTGCCAGGTGCACAATTCGGGCAATAATCCACAGTGCGTTACCATCTGACCCGACTTCGATGAGATACGATAAACGTACATAAAGTTGGTTTCGCATTTTATGCGCCTCAATGTCTGAACAAACGCTAATGTAAAACAAAGATTTGAATAGCTGGACCGCTTCAGACAAACACGCCGTAAACTGTATGGCTGGACTATGTTGGACTGAACTGCCTACAACCCGGAGGTGCCGAGCACTCACCATGCTGGTACCAAGTTGTATCAATATAATTGGCTCATGCAAGCACAGCCTGCTATTGCATCCTCGACAAGAAGTCCTTCAACGTTGACATTGGTTATGTGGTTGTAATGCTCGCCTGTGCTGTTCAGATATGCTAAGTACACAATCCAGGCGACTAGCGACAGCGCGTTAGCATCCTGCGCAACCTTGTTTAGATACGGTAACTGCACACTACATTGTAGTAAAGGCGCCAAGGCGCAACATTTTGTCTTCCGTGAGCTAGCAAGCGAAGGCCAAATCAGGCTGTCATTATATTGCATTTATCTTAACTATAAATATACAAATTTAAATAAAATTATGAAGAGACAGGATTTGAAGCTTGTTTGAGGGCCATGCGTTTTTGTCGGATCTTGGATAAGGCGCTGTTGGCACTGATAGGTCTCTTGGCCGCAGAGGAAGTGGGAAAAACCTGGCTGAGTGAGTGACAATATATCAGCATTGATGACTTGGCTGAGGCGAAAAAAATACCGATTCCACCAGGTGAGCAGCTCGTCGATTTCCTTGTATTCTTCAGGGTCTTCTAAGAGGTCGAGGAGGCTGTGATAGAATGTCTCCGAATCTGTAGTTGTGTCGGTCCGAGAGAACACCGAGGACGAGCTCAGAGCAAATCGCACCTTCAGTCGTACGTTAAAATTATTCTGCGACAGAATCAATGCTCGACGGACCTGAGTTGCAATATACGCTAAGGAGGCGATGGTGACGGAATTCATGCCATGGAGGCGCGCATTTCCGGACCGCGTGGCCTTTGGCTCCCTGTCGACCGAACTCGGAGATGTAAACACATGCTTGTAGGCCTGGGAGAATACCCTGTAGTGAATGAAATATCTGAAAAATGAATGCGCACTCACATATACTAGCAAGCGGCTCCTAAGAAGACCGCACCACGGGTCTTCAGGGTCATAAGCGTGGTGGGCATACAAAAAAATGGGCCATTGATCTCCACAGACCAGCATCTCGCCGCTTCGGAGTTTCTCTTTGGTCCTACATTACAAAAAGTACAAAAGAAGATTCAGAACTACACAGATGTCAGTAAACGGAAACATACTGAGGGTCATTCCAGTCCAATCCAGCGGGACAAAGAAGAGATCCTGTAAGGTCGTGGTTAAAACCGCGGTCGATCTTGGAATTCCTATGTAAAGGGGGCCGTATGGCTTCCCCTTTCGGGGAAATCCAATCGAGTATCGCAGATTTCAACGTTTTTGTGTCATCGCCTCTGGCGCCTGCGGCCCCCTTGCCGATCTGTAAACCGTAAGCATGAGCTCTGGTCACACAGAAAACAATGTACCAGCTCTCCAACATGAAGGATTTCTTCTTCCGACCCATCTTTCAGTCGCTCCAGAAGACCGGGATAAGATTCCAAAAGTTGCTCGAAGACGCGATGTTCTCGTCGCTCTCTGTCAAGCATGTCAGCCAACTGAGCGGATAGCAAATACAGAAGTAAATATTTTCACTCGGCAGGAAAGTCCTCCAACGGAATATCTTCGATTTGTTCAAGTCTCAAAACACCGTTGGTGAGCAAGGAGGGGTAATTACACAGGGCGAATACCGTTCGACCGAAGTGACGTCCATGGGATACTAGTGGATCAGATGAGGAGCTGGAGACAGGTTTATTAGGCCACAAAAGCTGTAGTCGAGCATCCGGGATGGCTTACGCTTTTTTGCGAGGTCCCATCTGGAGGGCTGAAGAGCCACGTTTGTTCGGAACGCTGGAAGTGGTGTCCTGGGTGGTCATCAATAGCTGGAGAGAAAGAAAGTAGCCAGAGTTCCGTAGATATCGGAAGTGGTTTTTATCCCCAGCACTAGACTACGTAATATGACAGGGCAACTGGTGGCGAAAGCAGTAGTCACAGCGAATAACGGCAAAATTGACGACGGTCAAAAAAGTGGCCACCATCTACGGCGACCTTGAATGATGGCCAAAAAAAAGTGGCTACTGTTCACGGCAACCAAACGACAGCCAGCCACCCATTTGTTGAGTACCTGAATGCATTAAACTTGAACTTAGAGGGTGAGTTTGAAATCTGACGGCCAAAGGAAAGCGTGACGTATCACCATGCAATATATAGCTCCCTCGAGCTTTCATTTTCTCGTTGCAGCCCTCCACCAGAGAATACATCAGCCTAGGCCCAATATGCCACAATCCGGGTATCAGACCTTCAAACTGCAAGGACATAATATCAGCTTGAATTTGCAGGTAAACCTGATGCACCCACCTGGCAGAGGCATGTACTAACGCCTTTCCTTAGAATTGAGTTTGTAGGCAACATCAATGACGACAGCCCCTCCGCGTGGAGCGACGAGGCTCCACTTCTGCCAGTGATCAACAATGAAAAGAGCGATATGGGCTCCATGACCGAGCTCAAAGAGCGACTGCAGTTGGCAGAGATTAACTGCTCCAGGCTGGAAGAGCTGTACCAAAAGTATAGACTTCGTTGGTTAGAGGAGAAGTATCGGGCAAGTGTGTTGAAAGAATACGCACCAGCTGGGATCGATACTTGCTCTCCCCATCAGATTGCATGGAACGCTCCCTCTCCTACTCCAAGTACGTCGAACACACGTTTCCTTGAGAAACTCTGATTGTGCCACTCAGGCGAATACGATGGCGAAGTTGAGGACAACGCGTAAATGCAGGAGCTGCAGTGAATATGAAGTGATTCGGGGCGACTCAGCAGCAGCTTAATCTAAGCACCATGATGCAGCTGCAATTACTACTAGTGTACGCTGTTCACAAATAGTTAGCGGACATTGTACACAATCTATGATTCACTGAATATGATGCACCTTTGACAACGAGCTCAACTCGCCTACCAGTGATCCCGATGTACAGATTACGGAAATGATGAAGTAGCCGCTGTGCGAATTCTGGCGAGTCTGTGAAACAATGTATGTGTATCTTTAATAGAAGATTCAGCCTCGGGAATCAGTAACAAGAATGATCGCTGGCAGTACCTTGTGATTGGCAGGGACAGTGCTCCATGAGAATCCTCTCCGTGTCTGCCTCCGCTTCGCGCGTGTGGATTGTGAGCGGCTTGCCCAGCCTGACAGCATGATTCAACTGTCGGATGAAGACTTCTTGCTGGATTGTCCGTGGGGAGTTGTCGTAGTGGTAATCAAGACCCATCTCTCCCCAGCCTACGCATCGTGGGTGGGCCATCGCTTCAAGACTGAAACTCTCGAATCAAATCCCCAGAATTATAAGGAACGCAGAGACATACATGGAAGCCTCGACTGCATCATTGTATGACTTTGCATCATGTCTTGGAGGATTATCAGTTCACTCCCGTATGAGACATCCGAACCAGTACGCACGGGTGAACGCCTGTCAGAATCATCTCTCAGTGCAAGAATCGAGGACAGCGCACGATCGGATAACTCACCCATCACAAACCAATAATCGATGCCTCCCCACTTCTGTTCCCGATCTTCTGCAGTCAGTGCTGAGTCCGCAAGCTCCCTCCACGCCATTAACACAGGTGCCTCGCACCACACGTCCACGATTGCCCTCACATTGCGATTGCGATACATCTCACGCACGAAGTCATGGATAGTGTAAAGCGTCCCGTTCCTGTACTTGTTCCGGTAAGTCGAGAACGTCGACACAAGGTGGGTGTGCGTGTCGATGATGGGCTGGTCAGCAAGGGAGGCATCTGCAAGCGGAGGAAGACGGAGGAAGGCCTCAGCAGGAATGATGTTGGACTTTTTCTTGTTGTTCTTGCCCATAGTGCGATGGGCTGTTGTAGTAAAATGAACCTGAGGGTGCAATAGAACTGATGTCCTCAATAGCTGCCAACTCGTGCGAATGACATGGTTGCGAGTAAGCATCTGGTCCGCTTCGTCGATGATGACCATTTTCAAATCTTGCTTCCTCTATGACCACCATCCGGGCATTATTGTCGCGAAGAGTTCCGATTCGCACGACTGTAAGGGAACTTACTTTCTGTCGAGAGCCTCTGTATCCTTCCTTAGCGATTTCGTCAATGGCAGCATTACTACGTGTGCAGAGTAGGATTTTCTTCGCGAGCTCTGAAGAGATTGCAGCTTCTCCAACATGAATGCACGTCACTGCACGTGGAATAAAAGCCTTGACGAGACCGCAGATGGTTGACGGCGTGAGTGCTGAAGGGTTTTGGACCCCCACAGTTGAGGTCAACGCCTGAAACGTCCTACATGACGGTTTTTGCAACCTGCACCGTAAGCTTGGGGTCAGCGGAACCGATTTGGTATATTGAATATGGTTTTTCGAGAGGATGAGTCGTAAACATGGCGCGACTCTTGCCGTTGTACGAGATGACACCGGTAACAGCTGAAGAACATTAGTTGATCAGTGGAAATGAGACATAGGTCATACATACGGTCAATCTCGCGTTCTGCGTGTAGAATAGCCTTGTCTACCATTTCAGGGCCCCAGACAGGCGTCGCACCATACTCAAGAGCCATTAATCGCGTCGGTACACTGATTAAAGCTGCATCAACTCGAATCGGACTGAAAACACAGAACCAGCACGTACGAGCACCAGATCTAACCATTGGTGAGAGAAATATCCCATTTCTGAACGAATCTGGTGTGAGATGGTCGTTTCGCGGACGTTTGGGAGGTCATTTCGAATCGCCCTGAGGCCCAGGGGTTGGTGATGTTGAGATTGGGCGACGAGACCCAGAACTTGAGTACCGACCGATCGACCTCAGCCTGACTCAGACAGACTTAGAGACGATGGAACGAAGCCATGGTTCAAATATGCAGCATCGGTAAGCCAGTTAGAACTTGAAGAGTGCAACTTGATATGCTTCTTCAAGAACAGTGCACCACTGCTTCGTTCGCGGTCCGCTGAGTCAGACCTATGTATAAGCAGTTAGTATCCATTCAGTGATACGAACTTTGTTCACATGGAACAAATTTCGGCAGAACCTGCGGGAGCGTATTCGATTAACAACGACCATTGAATCATAACCTGCCTGCAGGCATCGACAATTCTCCTCTTCGTAACGACAGAACCCTTGCTCGAATCACCGGCCTCTCGTCCTAACCTCTCACTCTTCGCTTCATCATTTGAACCTGCACTGACCCTGCTAGTGCAACGACAAAGTCAAGAAGTTAGCATCATTCTCGCCGATACTTCAGATCAATATTAATTAATCTTTAGTGAAGCTGGTATTGCAAGTCATGTCACGTCCGCGGCAGGCACGACCGACCAAAATGAATGAGGCAGTGGACACTAGGTCGCAGAATGAACCGGTTGTTCTTTCAAGACTAGCAGCACGCAAATAGCATGAGTGGAGTGCTGCCAGAGACGGTTCAAGTGAGTGATTTATGCGAGAGAACTCACTGTCATGAACTACTATACTATACTGAAGACTGAACCAGATGGAGGTGCGCGCCCGCGGCTGTTTTCGTCGATTGGAGACTGCATTGCATCCTTTGCATGTTGGTTAAAATAAAAATAGACAAGTTCTCTAATATTAAAATTTCTGGGTACGCAGAACAATCGATCGGACTTCAAAATTTATCACGGCAAATCGGCAAATCGAACTTCGTCCACCATAGAACGGAGAAGCAACCGAGAAGTATACTTTCCACGTGACAGGGTTCGCGGAATGTCACTGACTTGAGGCCTTGAATCAATTTTACGCTAGGTCTCGCAGTGTTTAGGCAAACGGAGTCCCCCAGCTCCATGCTCGGGGGACTCGGTGGATTTTTTTATCGTGAAGTGAGAGACTAAAGTACAAGACACGGCAAAACGTAGGGAGACATACACAAGGCGACTTCGAACGGGTAATACAATAGATCCCAGGAGTGCGAAACGAATAGCGGACAAAGCACAGGCGACTTCGAACGGGTAATACGATAGATCCCAGGAGTGCGAAATGAATAGCGGACAAAGCAAAACGTAGGGAGACATACACAAGGCGACTTCGAACGGGTAATACGATAGATCCCAGGAGTGCGAAATGAATAGCGGACAAGGCAAAGCATAGGGGAGACAGACACAAGGCTACTTCGAACGGGTGATACGATGAATCCCAGGATATGTGAACATGATGCGAAACAAATTAGCGGACAAGGACATCACGACAGGTAACGAGTACATACCTATTGAGTACAGGTATCACGTATTGTATATTAGATGTCGATATCCATGTCATCCTGTGATGCGAAGGACGTCAGAAACGAATAGACGCACTGAGATACACAAACCGAGTGATCGCACATCTCTACATCTCCATCGACTTGATCAACAACCATGGATTCCTGCGACAGAGCTGCTGAGAGATTGACAGCACAAAACGAGAGATGCGTACCGGTTGAACGCTGTCCCGCATTGCAGTGTCGCATACCTCCATCGCGTCCTCGTCATCATCGACGATCACGTAGACTAATTCCTGCGATAAAATAATGTAAGAAACGGATAGATAGATATATGTTTACATACCGGTTGAACGCTGTCCCACGTTGCAGTGCCGCATACCTCCATCGCGTCCCCGTCATCATCGACGATCACGTAGACTAATTCCTGCGATAAAATAATGTAAGAAACGGATAGATAGATATATGTTTACATACCGGTTGAACGCTGTCCCACGTTGCAGTGTCGCATACCTCCATCGCGTCCTCGTCATCATCGACGATCATGTAGACTAATTCCTGCGATAAAATAATGTAAGAAACGGATAGATAGATATATGTTTACATACCGGTTGCGCGTCATTCCCCGCAATATTGACATCACCTTCATCAAAGATGTCCATCGGTTCCTACAACGAAAAAAATGTCAAATAAACGGACCAAAGTACACATGGCGACATATACTAACTAAGTGCATCCCCTCCCCTTCATATTCATCACGGTCAACCTCCATCGGGCCCCATGAAGAAGTATTCTGTGGCCCTTCAGTGTTATATCAGAGTAGATACGAGAGTACATACTGAATGAGTGCTTGCCATGAGATGTGTTTTAGTAATGTGATATGGTAAGTTCTGCGACACTATTTGTTGTCGCATCGTGACGATCTTCGAGCTTTATCTCTCACCGCCACAATACGGCGACTGGCGATATGTCAGCAAATAAAACATTATCCTTTCGTGGGATATGAGTTGCGCCAGTTGGGGCTTCGTTTGATGCTCTCTTTACATGTATGTTGTCGTTATGAGTCCAAGGAGGACCTTTTGGAACGCGATTCGAGCCTTCTTTGCGGAGAGCTTGGAACACGGTTTGAGCCTCCTTTGCAGAGAGCTTGGGACGCGGTTTGAGCCTCCTTTGCGGAGAGCCTGGGACGCGGTTTGAGCCTCCTTTGCAGAGAGCCTGGAACGCGATTTGAGCCTCCTTTGCAGAGAGCTTGGAACACGATTTGAGCCTCCTTTGCAGAGAGCTTGGAACGCGGTTTGAGCCTCCTTTGCAGAGAGCTTGGGACGCGGTTTGAACCTCCTCTGCGGAGAGCCTGAGACGCGGTTTGAGCCTCCTTTGCAGAGAGCCTGGAACGCGATTTGAGCCTCCTTTGCAGAGAGCCTGGAACGCGATTTGAGCCTCCTTTGCAGAGAGCCTGGAACGCGATTTGAGCCTCCTTTGCAGAGAGCTTGGAACGCGGTTTGAGCCTCCTTTGCAGAGAGCTTGAATACTTGTCAGTCAAAATCCACGACATGTTCAACTTCTCACTCAAAGTCATTGCTCAGACATATTCCGCCAGGGTAATGAAAGTGTTTTACATCAAGAAAGAAGATAAATATGATACTATTGGGATGACATTAGGTGTCAGACTTGCAATCTCAGAACACAATGAAGAACTCACAGATCGCGTTCAACCACAAATGGTGGGTATAAACAGGATAGGCGTACCAGACAAGGAGTAAAATATAGCGCCAATGCATCTGCACTGCGGAGTATAGGTGCGGCTCTGTTACAGTGGCTTGAGTGTGGCAGCATGAGGCTGCTGGACTCAATGGGCAGATCAACGAAGACAAATATACATAAACAATTTTGTTTCTTTGAATCTGCCACCAGCCAACTTTATGCAGTACTTGGCTTGTGAATATTGTACTCAGACCTCGTGCGCATCCCTCATTGTGGTACATCTATAGCTCCAAGAGCTGTTGAACGCATCAGTTGAATTCTTTTATGCTCTGTTTCATTAAAATATTAAAGATTTACTCAGACATCTCTCTGCGTTACGACATGCCAAACATAGATTCATGGAAATTGGTAGCGATAACACATCGTATTTGTAGTACAAGGTTAAGAACCGAGAAAGGACCAGCAGACATCCGATTAGTCAAACCTACTACACGTGTATAGCGGCTGGATGAGTCGTGAAGTATGAAACGGGTACATCCCAGACAAATCTCAGAGATTTGGTGGAACTAAAGCCACCACTGTTTGGAACTTCACTGCACGGATTACCGATTGGCTGGATTTCGATGGGCACAACGTCCGTCATATTCCTGAATCTCTTCCTCCCATTCCTTTCCGTCATGGTTCTCGGAAGACCTGTCTTGGGGGCGATGGGAAGGACATTGCTCGCCCTGGATAGAGCATGATGAGTATGCTCAAACAGCACACCAAGAAGGACGCACTTTATGAAAGGGAGAGCCTTCACTGCCTCCGTGAATATCGGAAACAAATGCGGATAGGCGTACATGTCTTCAAGAGCTGACATGAGAATCTCGTTCATGTCTTCTGGTTCATGGTAGTCGATCTGTCCTGTGCGTTTCTCTTTCAAGATGATAACCATCGAGTGATAGAGCTGAAATATCAGCGCGGCGTCTGTTATTTTGAAGAGAAAACACGAAGCGAATACAAACTTACCAATGTCATCAGATTACACACCGGTTTCTGGGCCAGACAGTTGGAGTTTGAAAAGACTTCTTCTGGAAAGAGATCTGCTAGCCGCCCCTTATGTTGTCCATCTGCTAACTTGCTGATTGGGTGAAAGAGCGATGCCCAAACAAGCTCCAAGAAAACTTGTTCATTGATGAGCTCGGAAATCGCCCGATACACCTGAAAAACGAAAAGTTTTGAGCTAGTGTGGTAACTACGGTCTTGAGTCCCGTACATCATCCCTTTTGCCCGAGTTGAAAAGAAGCACAAAGTGAGTGATCCTCGTGATCATCTCATTCCAAGAGGCAATGAATCTGGTGTATGGTGACATTGCACCTTTGACCACCTTCCTTAGTTCTGCTTTTGAATTATCGAAGGCCTTAGCTAGCTGCTCACATCAATAAGGAGAAAGCGAAGGAAAGAGAAGGCGTACATTGACACGGAACACCGGCCACCCTGCAGCAATGGTTTCTCCGTTGGCGAATTTGATGTTCACTGATAAAACGGTAAGATAGCGGCTGGTGGGATCTATGATGCAAAGCACTGACCTGGTTCTTCCAGAATCTCCTCATAAGTCTTGTGAACTAGGTGAAGCGCGGTGAGAAAGTTATTGGTCACCAGATGTCGTACTTCCGTCTGAGAAACCCTAAACGGAGCTTGGTGCTCTCCTACCCACAAACCTGCGACAAACAGGGCCCTAGTGAGCATCACGACCCGCCACCAAGGCGACCTCTTCATTGCGCGGGTGAGGGCGTCTCGTTGCTTTCTGTTCAAGGTTGTCCATACGCCACTCCTAGACTTTCTCCATTGTAGGTCGGAATGGAAAACTTGGAGAGCCAGCTCCTCAGTGAAATCCTCACCCATTTCATCCAAAAGGGGCCCGGCTGAATCGTCAATACCATTGAGAGAGGCAATAGTGGACAACCCCCAGTAGTTATAGCCACAATCGAGCTCTTGAAGTTCCGTGGGTGTGAGTTCAAAAGAAGCGGGAGTCAGGAAGACATCCGAGAGCGTATTATCGAGAACACTTGAATGAGCGAAAGGCAGCGCCTCGTACGTGAGTTGTTGTGCTGGGGTGGGAGCGGGAGGTGGATACCCATCCGGAAACGGAGCATAGAAGAATTCAACTGATGCGTTCAACAGCTCTTGGAGCTATAGATGTACCACAATGAGGGATGTGCACGAGGTCTGAGTACAACACTCACAAGCCAAGTAGGCATTGGGACACCTCTGGCGTCGGCCCTACAGTATGTAGGGGTTATCGCGCTGATATGAGCGCCGCCGGTTGACTAGATCTGTCGTTTCAAAGACGAAATGTTCAATACGGCAAACATCTCACCGTTGCTGTGAATAACTCATGAAGGTGGGTAGTATCCCTCTCTCCAGGAATAATCAGCCACCCAAGTTGTGTGAGCCGACCAGTCCAAGGCCGGGCCTCTTGGAAGGACCTTTCGCACTACAAACAAATGCAGTGAGACTAAGCCTTTGCATTCGAGAAGGAAAACTCACGTAAATAGGTGATACTTGGAGGTGATGAGCTAGATACCCCACAACGACATACGATCCCGTAGTAAGAGCGATGAACGGATGCTGAGAGTAAAAAGGTAAAATGAAACGACAGGTGATGAATGTCGACAAACCTCTTCGTGCTAAAGGAGAAGGTCGTCGCATCAGCGAATCCACTGTACAAAGTCCTATACTTACGGTGAGCTGAACGAGCTGAAGAATTTCGCCGATAGCTGGTACGTATAACCATACTGGAGACATCGTGATGACCGGTGTGGGGTGGGTGAGGAGGGAATTGATGGCAACTAAAGAGGTTAATAAGGGCCAGTCGTAAAATAAAAAAGCCTGCCAGACATTAGCAGCGGTCAGAAGTTAGAGTTGGTATAATGGGGTACTGATCAGTAGTGGCCATTACTTCTCGTCACCGCTAGTTGGTGGCCGTTTGTAACAGCTGGCTGCCAATCTGTGATTGATGGCCACCAATGATTGCTGGCGATCTTGATACAATCGATGGCCATTAATACCTTCCGGGAATATTATGTGTTGCCATTGTAGTCATTGGCCATCTTGAACTTGTTGAATTGTGCCCATCAGATTACATGGGTTCTATTGCTGTAATGTAAGAATTAATTTTCGTAATCGAAAGCATGGCCCATGAACATATCGTCTAACGCCTCCACGAGAGACTCCGTGCTTGCGTTCCTTCCTTGTTCAAAGAAATTCAATTCTTCAACACCAAGGTAATGGCCTTCTTCATCGCCCTCATCCTGTTCATCGTCGCTTGGATGGGCGCTTTCCGCGAAGTTTTCTTCGCCCTCAAAATCCTCATCTTCCATATGGGCGGCTGTCTGAGTGGCAGGTTGCCGTGCCGAGCTATGACCGTCCAAGGTCCCTACCCTGTGTGAGTACACGTGGCCTACCCCGAGGCCATAATGGAATCTCATGAGTGTGTCACGATCAGCGAAACTGGTGGAGTTATGAGGATTTGGTAGATATGACTCGCATGGATAAGACTGCTCACCTGTTGATGTAGTATTCTAACCAGTCGTGTTCATCTCCCGAAAGGGAAGAAATCCCACAGTTCAGGTTGCGCCGGCCTCGAGAGAATGCCGGAATTATATGGCATGCCCTCAGGACTGCTCCTGGATCCACGAAGCCGAATGCGTTTGGATCCATCAAAGGCAGGAAACAAACCCTTCCCAAAGCACACGTTTCCCATGCATGGCTTTGTATGACTTCATACCACCGAACAAACAGGAAGTCTATTCGGCGGGACTCGTACACATTCCCTGAGCGAACTACATTAATATGATGGATACCAAGAACCCGCGCATAACGATATTTGTCATCATGCCCCTCAGCGTGCTGGAGTAGCATAATGTTGTGATGGGGGGTCCTGGGATTTATCACGTCTTGAGCCCTTCGTACGTCGTACGTCGTATAATTAAACCTAACGAGGTTGTGGTGGTATAGTCTATTGCGCTTGAAAAGAATTGAACTTTTTTCTTGGTCAGGATGTGCAGAGTTCTCCATAGAAATTCCAGGAGACCCTATGCGGTCCAGGATATGATCCTTCAATCGCGGAAGGAAGTTCTGTGATTTACGTTAGAACGATTATGATCAAGCCCCCGAAAGTCATACCTTTATGGCAGGATCTCCCGCATGTCTGCGGAGATAATGCCCTAACTCGTCGAAACTCTTCTCACTTCGTCCAATATGATGGTGCAACTGAGGGTCAATTGCAGTTTCGTCGACCTGTGCACGAGGGACCTGTATTGCCTGCCGTTGTTTGATACGGCGCAAGCGCATTTGACGGCGTTCTATCTGAGTCAGTTGGCATATAAAGTTTCTGTGATCAGTTCGACAGTATCTGCCTTTCAGCGTTCGGTGCTCTAACTCTCCCTGATAGCAACTGAGCCGGGGAGCGGACAGGGAGCAAATCACGACTTACTGGTTCTGTGCTGTATGAGTCTGTGGTGCCGAAGCGACGAATGGAAGCAACATAATCGCCCAATGCATGAAATTTGTATGTCTGAATATTTAGCGACTTCTTCCTCCTCGGTTGCCTTGGTAAACGTGGATCCTCCTTCTGTTTCCCTTTAGCATTAGCCCCTGTCCCCTTTTCATTCGCCATGCTGCTCTCCATGCGTCTAGCAACATCCTTTGCCTGCCGACGAGATCTCGCGTCGACCTCACGGTTGAGCTCCTGTGTGTAGTATGCAGTACATACCTTCGATTTGAAGTGTCGGAATTTTTCACTGAGGTCGGTGGTTTGCTGGTCGAGAATCTCCAAGGTAAGGTCAGAATGCATTCGCAGTTTGGCGAGTCCATGCCAATGCGCCATAATGAAAAGGAGATCGAGGAGAATTTTGTTGTGAGCATCGGGGAGGAGGCCTTCAAAAACTGGAATAGAACACTTGTACAAAGTTAGCGCACGAACATATGACAATTAAAAGGTGTACGTGTAGAAGATCTTCGAAGTTGCGTGCTGCCATGTTCGACATGTCGGAGGTGTTGGCAGAGAATCGCCTAATGGTTGCAGGACCAAATGGGGGGACCTGCCTGTACCTGTCAGATATGGAAATGAGTACCCCAGGCGTTATCAGAAATACATTCAGCACCTCCTATCAAGCTCATGCACTAAGTCCCTGTTCAATGCTGTCAGAATTCTCAGTAAATGAATTAGAAGCATGCGCCATATTCCCAGCTCAAACTCGTGTAGGAGATCGACGACAAGCGCTGCAAACACATTGAATCCAAATGGACTAAGATTATCCGACAGCACATTCTAATCAAGTATTAGTTCAGCCGACAAATGAGACTGACGATTATGCTTACTGAGTTCGGCACCCACGAATCAGGTTTGAGAAGTGCTTCGACTGCCGTACTGTCAACACCGAGATTTTTTTCGTAGATAAGGTTGTGTGCAGTGGCAACGGGCTGACTCCTCGAGACGTTGGACCACGCCAGCGTTGAACGTTGTTGCCGATCACGGCTCATCCCCAGATTCTGAAGCCGCGCGGTCGGTATGAGACAGCGAGGGCAAGGACAGCCTCCCAACTGCCGAATGGTTGCAACAAGGACCCTGGTTTGGTCAGCTTAGATGCCTTACGGATAATGATCACGACTCACTTTTCAGGGTAATCCGCAGAGTAGGTAAAAACTTGTGGGTAAAACCTGCGTTTGACTCCATCACAGCAGAGAATTACCATCCCGTGCTCATATGCCTCTAAAAACTCCTCGTCGAGTAAAATCTTCCACTGAGCTTGAAACAGTTCACGCTGGCAATGCGTTGTGCATTCACGGCCAATCCCCTTGCCGTTGGTGTAAGTCCCCACAAAATCCTTAAATGCGTCCGGAAGCTGCCAATGTGTAAGCTTGAATGCGAGAAGGATATCAATTCAGGGGGGACGTTGTACCTTTTGAAAATATGCGACATGGTTCCCTAAATTGCAGGATGGCCTACAACGACGGTATTTGGATTCATTTCCAAAGTACATGTACACTGGCCACAGCTTCGCATTACCGAATGATGTCAGTTGCGTGGCATCTGACCAAAACATCAGTGCGACGATCACGCGGGGTAAATCGCACCCTGGCTCCCCAGGAGACTCAAGGAGATCACGGTGGGCGTCCATAAAGGCCGGTGAGGTATACAGCTCGCCTTGAATGTCGACCTCGCGGGGAAGATGAGGAGCGCTCCATCGCAGCTGGTAAGGTTCGTAGTGGAAAAGCTCGTCATCCTGAGCATTTGCGAGCTTTTCTCGAATGACGGAGGTGAGAGACCGATGGTGAAATTCGGCCGCGACGTAAGGTCGAGGGCCTGGCTGAGCTGCAGTTCGAGAAAAAGGTACTTCGATGCTGACTTGCGTTTTGTGCCAACTGGCATCCACATCCTCCCATTCTTCCCCCTCGTCGTCGTAAACAGTCGCACCTAGCTGTGAGTTAATTCTGCCCCATGGCGTGCTCCGGATATCGTCAGGATTAAAATCCGGATCGCCGACAATGTCAATAAGTTCCTTGAAGCTGTGCTGGGACTTCTGCGCGCCTCCATGCCAGTACCAGTGACCCAGCTCAAAAGAGGATCGATTGGGGTAGGGGGAGAATGAAATGTCTTGAGGCTCTGCGAGAGCATCTGACTCAGTTGAGGCCACGGCCGGAACGGAACTGATATCTTGGAGTGTGACCGATTCTTCTGGGTCGTGAGAAGGGGGGGTGGATGAAAAGAACTGGCGTACCAGCCCGAATACATTTCTAGCAGTACGGAAAGGGGGAGCTCGCGAAGACGCATGAGTGCTAGTAGACGAGTCCATTGTATTGGCATGTGCGTCAAGCTCTGGTGCTAGAGCAGCATAACCAGAGGGAACGCTTGGAGGAGCTTGGGGAAGCACATCCTCATATTGCCTATAACGGAGCGGCAATGAGACGCCAATGCGTCGGCTCCTCCGCTGCGCCAGTGATAAGCCCTGTTCTGCGTCTATCTCCATAGGTAAGGCGCTGAGATCGGCATTTGATACTGATGCGGGTGCGTTTTCTTGCAATGAAGGTCCTGCATGTTCCAGATCAGCAGACGGGAAAGAGTCCTTCGGAAGGTGGGCATGCGCGTTCGACAGAGCTGTGCTAGGGCCAGTAAAATGTTTATCGAGGCTGTGGTTCACTCGTGACCGCTTTGCGGAGCCCAAAAGATGCTTCACTTTGGATAAGGCAGAGAACAATCGTTTCTTGCCCTTGGTGCAAGAGCCCTGATGTTTTGTGTAGGCACTCTCCTGCGTGAACTCGCGAGTGCAGGCACATCTGAAGGGGGTTGGAGTCGGTGATGAACCTGCCCAATCCATGAGGGGGAGCTGAAGGTGTAGGAATACGGTTCAGTCCAATTTTGAAGGATAGGTGGAAGGACTGACGACTTCGGCAGCATAACATAATATGGTGGGCACTTGTGATGGCCAGCCCGATTACCGAACGGCCATCACATCCCCGGATTCCCACAGGCTAGAACTTTTGGCAGCAGAGTGAAGGTGGCGGGCAGGGACATTTTATGTGGCAGGAGAGGCTAGGGAGACTGTAATGTTAATACATGTCGCGGTCTCATAAAAGCAGAGTAGATACCGTGTATTCGCTGCACCGGACCATATAATGGAAGCCCCATCTTCACCTTCGTCTACCATCACTGCCCCACCTGATTGTCACGAAACCGCTCAAAGGTTAGCCAAATTGATTGCGGAGGCTATGACCTGCCACTCTGCCCTACTACACTACGACAGCACCTCAAGATCCATGATTGAATGGTGGTGGTGAGACGCACCTGAATTCTGTGCAAATTTTGACCCATGACGCTGCTCCACGAAAACACAGGCCTGTCGACGGTGATGGAAAGAGGATCCCCCCTTTCAACCTAGAGATCCACCGCGAAGGATATGGATTGAGATACCCATGCTGCCTATGCGCCGATGGTAGTGGAAGGAGGGTGTACGTAGAGTGCGCAGTGTACTCTTGGTGGAATAAGAGCACCGAGAAGTTTGACTGGACCGCAAGATGCGCATCTGATGAATGCGGATACCGAGGTTAGCATTCTTAGCATTCTTCACGCTCAAGATGATCACATACTTAAGAGTGAACATCGCCTAGTGAAAATCGACACATACTTCAGGCTACCAACTATAGCCACCTTCCGCTATCCTCGAAGAGGTATGAGCGTCCCTCCTTCCTTCACTGCAGCACTGGATTTGAACTCATGGATAAAGAACGGCAAGCCTTGCCTATTCAACTAGAGTGGACTTACAAAGAGCAAAGCGAATTGCTGAACAGACTCGATTCCTCTGCTGGCAATGGTATTACTACCACGGAGTTCCAGATTTTGTTTAGCCGCTGCAAGGAATGCAAACGAGTCGGGGTGAGGCCAGCAATGAGGCGCCACATCTGTTCGGAAGGTATGAAAAAGCGAGAAGGTTGACTCGCAGGAGGATCATTATTGCTTAGTATTAGTACAGTCAGCATAGCCTAGATTAATATTGATATGATACTTGTTGATGGAGGTGGGAATCAGCAAATTCTGATGAAATCTCGCTGCCATCCCACAGCCACGGCGTGCAGTGCGCACGGCCCATCGTGCGAGGTGTTAGCTTAAACATTTCCGCATTCTCCACTAATCATATGCGAATCCTTGCAAGGTTTCAGCTGTTAATATACCATTTTCCCCTATGCAGTCTGGAATGTGTAGTAACGATCTATTTGGATGACATGCGAGACACTATTGAACAGCACAGACAGCAAAGTCACCAACATGCAGCAATCAGCCCCAGGCCTATCTAGTATTCGCGTTCGTGCGTGCCAACAACCACCTTTCCGACTTGAGCGCTTGAACTCGGCAGTGACGATTAGTAATCCTCGACGTCGATGTCACTGACATGCTGGAATTCCTGTGAAAATAGAATGGCGCAACCTACTTGCATGACTTGGAGGTTGTGGACGGAAGAAGGCTGATTTGATGACCATTTGACATTTGATGGCCATTTGATGGCCATCGTCTGTTTTTTGATGGCCACCGCTTGTTTGGTGGCCATCCCTAAAAGGAATATGAGATGTCGTGTCGACTCTGTCAATTGCAAAGTACCTCTTCTCATGGTCAGCTCCGCGATTGCTTGGAATCAACGATTAAACTACCGCTTACACATAAATAGTACTCCCACAGTCAAGCCCGCTCGCCACGCACCTTACTGTACATAAAATAGTCGCACCCATACAAGATGTGTCTTTCAGCAGAATTATTTGATCACTCAACTGCTCGGGCGAGCATTTTTCCACTTTCGAACATACTAGGCAGTGAATTCCTGGATGCCTACATAGGACTCATAGCAAATCAGAAGGTCAGTGGTTTTTTTTTTTGGTAACCCTGATCTTTACTAAATATTTTCATGTAGCTCCAGACTGAACTATACGTTCTTTCGTTCTTGCTCAAAGAACGAGTTTATCCTGGCGATCTTTGGGAAATAATTGGGGAGCGCAGCATAGAGGCGAAACAAGAGGAAATGTTGCGAAGGTATCAGAGCGTATGTACTAACGAGGATAGCGGAAAACATACAGCCGTAGAACGAATTCTTTTAGAAGAGAGGAGGAAACGATGCCAGATGGAAGTGTCTTTGTACACCCAGGCTATCGAAGTCTTAGAGCAACACTGGTTGTGTGAGCCTCTTTTTGTCTGAGTGCGGATGTGTAGTCTGAACCCTCTTACTATATAGCACGCCTGGGAGCTCGATCCAAGCATGCCATCAGGCCTCCCTCGAGGCAGACGGTTGCTCCTACAGACTATGCACCTCTACCTTGCACGCCATTGGCCTGCTCAATAGCAGCACGAGGGAGGTGTGAAATTTGGCTGATGAAGAACGATGCCCGCCTCATCCCAACTGCAACTTCTTTGATGGAGGCATTATCACCTCTACACCACTCTATCTCTTCAGTACGCAGTGATTCCACCTCGCAGGAAGGAAGATAAACATCTGTCAATTTGAATGTCAGTACTCTGACAGTTGGCTTAGTTACTCTCACTGACTGTTCACAGTGTATTGGCCCCTCATTGCCCCTGTCGAGTACATGGGTCACCGCTGACGTCCAAGAAGCCTTTTACCAGTCATTCAAGCAGGAACTGACTATGCAGGCGGAGCTGATGGTGACATCCCTGGCTACCAGACGTAGCAATGCCTATCTGCGCAACCTTGGGCTAGATTTGCTCATCTTGCAGGCCAAGAGACGCCGCGCCCACGCCGAGATAGCGTTATATACGATGGCCATTGATAATTTGCATGGGTACAACCTCTCTAATACCAGTGAGTACGACTGATCATGCTCCCTTCCTTGCTAATAATACTGCAGGTTCATCAACATCTTCAAATCCAAACATTCTGCGACCTCTGTGTAAGGAAACGCACTACTACAACGAGGACATCGAAGACGGCACAGAGGAAAGCTGTGGAGACTATGAAGATTACGAAGATTACGAAGACTGCGAAGACCTCGACATTAAGTGACACTGGAATTTCCCACTGACATCTGCATATTTTTTTGCATGGGACTGTATTTTTTTGGCCCTTGCGCAAGCTGCCTTAGCCCTGACCTCCGTAAATTATTCTCTTTATTGTCCTCGTATATAAGTGTGTAGGTTTATGCATTCCCACGAAATCCTGTACTCACAAATGCTATCTGGTTCTTGTTTGGTTAATTGGTTAAAACCTGTCTTGCCTGCCACTACTTCCATGGTGTTCCTCACTCTCATACGTTCGTGTCAAGGAGTATATGTTGGAGAATGTGCTTGTGTTCCTTGGAGGCAGGTGAGCAACGCATGTGGAGGCTGCGTGATTCCAATCGTACAATGTAAATCACTAGATCCGGCATATGGCATTTTTAAATGAAAAGATGAGGTAGCGGGTGACCATTCTAGTAGAAAGCTACCAGCTGCAGTATATGATCAAGAATTCATTCGCGTGCGTATGCAATGATTGACTCATCACTGATCAGTGTGTGGGAAGATTGGCAAAAATTTCGAATCGTCTTATCTACCTTGGCCCACTAGGTGCTAGTTGGATGCATGTAAGTTCATCATTGCGCTCTGGGATGAATTTGATGACTACATGCTCCGAGTAGAGTTCTGCGAGATGTTCCCATATCAGATTGGCCTAGTAACTTGACCTGCTCCCCGGTTCGTACTATCTTTGTTAGTTCGTGATGATTCATTTCAACTGCATAGAATTCCGGAGGAACACATAGATTTCCTTGCAAAGCTCCCCGATTATAGACACATCGTATGGTGGACACCCCACTAAGCTTGCAAAGGATTTTGCCTTGGAAGTATTCCTTGCACTGAAATAACCTTCTAGTGCTCTCGGCACTTCGATGCACGACTGGAAGCTTAGGGTGGTGGTCTCCTTCAGCTGCCAATGTGACCTGAGCATTCATCAGAATGTTTTATGGTGGCTCTGATGTTCAACCTTATGCGGTAAAGGCCTTCTGCTCTTCAGCTGAACGATCTCAAAGTGAGTAGGATTCAACACACCATTGACTTCCGGTGGGCTAGATAGCACCTGCGACTTTGGTACGGTCGGATTGACACCCTTATTGTTATAGTGTGTGGACGAGCTTGGCATTTGATGATTTATTGATTTAGTTCCCATTCAGCGTCTCATCAAATTTTGGTCCTTGTAGGGCTCCTGTCCATACCTGTTCGCCACCTGTCAAAACCGCTACCTGGGCCATCGACTGACTTTTGTCGGGCAATTCATCTTCAACGCATTGGCCTACTGCGTAAGTGGTGCAATCCAATAACAACAACTTACCATTAGCTTACAGAACCGAGTAGGGAGCAAAAACACGAACACGATCTTTGATTCTACCAGTTCTGGTACCAGTGTCCTTTTGCACATTGCGTGTGCCTCGCGTTTGAACCGACCGCCACTATTGACTTGAATGAAGGCCTAAAGGTGAGCACTATGCAATGCTTCTTGACCACCCTCATTTAGCCAGAATTCAGGTGTAGTGATATTCATCCGAACCTTTACAGGCCAAATACATGAAGACTAGAATGCTACAACAGCCGCAGTCCATCCCAAGATCGTTTCGACCGGTCTCATTCTATGGAACCACACTTCTGGGGTTCCGGTTCCCGGTGGAAGTCGTCTTGAAAAGATTGAGGATTCTCTATGGGAAAAACTTCGCAGAGATACATGGCAAACCGAATGTTCGAGCCGCATCAGACTCCCGGAATTGATTGATTGATTGATCGATCCGGCCAATACGAAACGTTTGTCCATTTGCACGTCACTTAATATTTCCTCTCATCATTGTATATAGGTTGGTGGCCCCAAGTCCAAGGTTTCCATATTATTGTACCCGTCCTGCACGAGATTACTCTCATCAGAAGTCGCCAGTGTATCCTCCTGTTCGTGGTGATACTTATCATCCTTACTCTAGTGGTCAAAGCTACTGAGAGTCACACGTATCTGTTCGATCAGATTCATACTGGCCACAATATGATGATAGTACTCGACAGTTACCACGCTCAGTTGATAAATCAAACGCAGATGCTTACTACCCATGTCGACCATCTTAGTCATTATGATCACGATGACACTCAATCGGCGTCCATTGCTGGCACACCGCCTCGCCATGCTGTTAACTCTCCTCCGCCGGCTTAGGTCGAGCCCAGGCCCTTACACCTTCCCCGCACTTCCTTTCAACCACTCATGGATACTTCGACGAAGCCTGGTGTCCAGTCTGACAGGCAATGCATGCTTAAGCGATCTACAGTACCCGTCCTCCCACAACCTCAAGAACTCACACCTGTCCCCACGCCATCTCCAGCTTCGTCGCTCAACAATCTGTCGCACCTGTCATGAGTCCACCAGTGCTTCCGGATCGTCACATCATTCAGGGTTTTCATCATCCCTACCATTGGTCACCGTCTCTCGCAGTATGGCTACCCTTGCCGCCTTGTACGATTTCCTTCCCTTACTCCTGCACCGCCTATTTTGCCGCCGGTCGATACCACGTCTTTATCGGAGCTCGAGTATCACAATGATTACCAGGGGGGATAATGATGGCAAGCAAGTATATCAAGGAGGTATTATGCCCACAAGCTTCATACAGGCGCGTTTTGTCTCCCTTCTATAGTTTTCTTTAGAAGACCGTTCTTATCCTTGATCAGCAATGTATAGTTACCCAGCGGAGTACGCTGAGTACTATTCCGAGGATGCCCTGTCCCCCGGCGGTCCACGGCTCTGTGACACCCTTTTCAATGACGTCTCCCAAGTGACTTCACTTGCGTGAGTTGGCGCTGCTGACTACATTTATACTTTGCTGATGTTCTTTTTGTCACAGACTTAATGAAGAGACCCAGACATGAAGATGCCCAAGGCTCAAAATCCCTACCAGTAGAAGTTCAGGACACTAAACCAGTTACGTCGAGAGTCAGGAAGGGAGGGCTCTCCCTCTTACCCATCATCAGCTTGGATGTTCTTTTCGATGTAAGTTTTACTCCCTGCGCATATATATGCAGCTCAAACATTACCTATCGCAACAAATTGTCGGATTCCTGGAACCGCTTGACCTCCTCGATCTAGCTCGCACCTCTAAAGCTTTTTAGAATTCACTTGTGCGAAAATCGAATGCTTTCGTTTGGAGAGCGTCGCTGTCACTTATCCCGAGCCTCCCCAAATATCCACTACATCTGAGTGAGCCACGGTACGCTTGCCTTGCATTTGATCCACACTATTACGCAGGTCGTCTTCCATAATTTTCATAAAGACATCCTTCAACACGAAACATACAAAACTGTCGTGGAATCGGTTTCAACATCATCTGACAGTTTCGAGTAAAATATTGCGGGCCTTGAGAATCCAGTGATGAACTATGTCAAGTCTCGTAGTCTGAAAAAGTAGTGATAGACGACCGACAGGAAACTAACAAAGAGGACAGACGCATACTTACCCATAAATTCGCGTGAATGTAAGACCGAGAACTGTTTATATAATAAGGTAGCGGGCCCCAGTGCCACGGATGTGGCCCTGCGAGACTTATATAGTTAAGAAGGTTGCCCGGAGGGCTGTGATGAATTTACAAGACATTACCCTGGACGTGTCACAACTGCCAGCAATGACTATTTTGTATCAATATTACAAAAATATTATGTAGCTTTGCAAACAACCATCGCAAGGTGAACCCAATGCAGCAGGTGACCATTTTTGTGGAGCGATGCTGGAATCCCTTCAATAGTTTATCTACAAAATATCATATTTGCGTGACTTCATCAATATTACAAAAATATTATGTAGCTTTGCAAACAACCATCGCAAGGTGAACCCAATGCAGCAGATGACCGTTTTTGTGGAGCGATGCTGGAATCCCTTCAATAGTTTATCTACAAAATATCATATTTGCGATATATACATGACTTCATCAATATTAGAGGTTTCTTGCAATCGCTTGTCATTCAGCATCATTATGCTGGTGTTTAGATAATACTATGTATTTGGATATAATATGTCGATAATTGATTTCATTTTGCCAGAAATATCTATTAAAATCACCTCATGGCCGATTTCCTGATGAACCAAGTGAGTTTATACTAATAATGTCAAGTCCCTCAAGGCACTGATGCAGCCTATCAGCGGGTTGGATTGTGCTACAGAATGCTACAGAGCGCTCTGTAGCTGCATAGTATACTGGTTAAGCTTAAGTGTCGCGGCAAATACCGCAGCAGTCGTACTACTACTACTAGTGGCACAGCATTTTCCTACATAGTGCCCGTTCTCTCATCACTACAATCACATGTCGCTAATGTACAGTGGACCTGCTCACGCACCCACCACAGGTTCGTGTCATATTAATGCACTAAACAGTACAACTGCAGCGCATCAGTTGGCAGTGATGCATTATTGGTGCAATTGTACCACCCTTTGCTTTCCATGCTGATGCATGTTGACCGTGTACGACTGTGCGACATTTCCCTTCTTTTGATGGTTTCATGCATTACTGATGCGGCGAGTATGTAGGATGTGGATCCATGCTGGCCCACTGGGAGCCATTGTTAATCGTGTATGAGCTTCCCTTTTTTGAGAATGTTCAAACGTTGATGACTGATGTCACATTACTATAATGCATTCCAGGCATCAGTAATGCATCAGTAATGCATCGCTATTGCTTTGCTCCCCACTGCAGCGTTAATGCATCACTGCAGCAAATTGTGCATCAAAATGACAAGGACACCTGCGGTCAAACTTCTGAAGCTCAAAGTACTGGCATGTACGGGGTCTTGCAGCTCGTCTGACTGAACTTTGACAGTTGGTTCACCTCAGACTCGATCCGGGCTGGTGGGGCGACTAGGATAGCAAAACGATATTGCAGTTGCACGCCGCGAAATGTGCCATGGTCCATGGGCTCCTGTTTGCACATACCTACTTGCAACTGTAACCGTGACTCAACTCCTTACAAGTATAGGCACACTGTATCGATCCCAATGTCGTCTACCTTAGCAGGTAGATCTAATCCCAGCACTCCGACTCAGCACTCATTACTGATACCTGTCTAGCTCAGACTAACTGTGGTGTTACGAAAAGAGCACAAAAGGAAGGCATCAAGGACAGCCAACAGCGGTGACTAGCTGGCTATCTAGCAAGTCAAGGCCATTATGTACTACCACATTGTGAATCAGAAGGATGAATGTTTAAGGTTTCCAGAGGCAGGTATTGAGGCATGAATGAGACCTTAGCTCAAAACCAAGCCTGTGCGACCCGAGACATATAAAAGCCTCCTTTCTGCGACCCCAACTGCATAACTCAAGCTCTTTCAGTTGACCATTCAGGAAACATGTCTGGCATAGACACCTTCTCTGTTCCGTTGTCTGCAGGTAAGCCTGCCTTTCAAAACCAGTTCAAGTCCACTTATTGTTGGAAATATCAGAGGCTATCTCCTCCGCGTGGCTTGCTGCATTTGTTTCTGACATATCCGGCCCCAGTTTTACTCTCAAGCGCTCGTTTACGAACGACAGCTACTGGCGGGATGTCTTGGCATTCACTCCTGATTTTCGCACCTTGCACTCAGTTTCAAAAATTCAGCATTTTTTCTCAGTTCCCGTTGCCCTTGTACAACCAAGTCAGTTCCGACTCTTGCCAGGTGTCCGTCATCGGCACATTAGTCCTACAAAGACGTTCATCCAGGGAATTGTTCAATTCCATACAGTCATAGCGCAATGCTCTGGCGTCTTTACTCTGACTCAAACCAAGGACTCCTCATGGAAGGCTTGGTCCTTCGTGACCATGATGGACCGGTTGTCCGGCGTGGTCGATTGCTTTGATGGACATATGCCTCTCTGTCGCCCTGCCGAGTGGAACACTGCAATGGAGTACACAGCGGTCGTCGTGGGTGCAGGTCAGTGCGGCTTATCTGTGGCCGCCTGTTTGGAGAATCTCGGGATCTCCACACTTGTCTTAGAGAGGTCTGGCAGAATTGGCAATAGTTGGCTTTTTCGATATGATTCACTGGAGACGAATACTCCCAAGGCGTTCAGTACGTGCAGCTGAAGTACTACCAACCTCGTCCTATGCTAATGTGGCAGCAGATCATCTACCCTTCGTCGAATTCCCAGAGAGATCCGGAAAATACACCCCCTGCAGAGACGTTGCTGACTATCTTGAAGATTACCAAAGAACTCTTGGTCTTCACGTGTTGACCTCAGTGAGCATTTCTGCCGCTTCATATGATGCTTCGTCAAGTACCTGGACATTATCTGTATCTCTTCCAGGGCAAGCCTCTATTACTGTGATGGCCCGGTACATGATTGTCGCAATAGGCATTGGCACAATGGGAGGTGCACTCCCGTTCATGCCTTCGATTCCAGGAAAAGTACGCAAGCAATATCCCGTATGATACGGGCCAGCGGACCATGGGCCCATGATCAAAATATCCTCGACTATGACGGATGGGCCGGGAGGCAAATTATTCCCGATGGAGGCGGGTGGGCCCATGCAGGGGATATATAGAGTAGATGAGTGGGCCGATGTACATGAATATTAGGTAGACGGGTGGGCCGAGGTAGTTGGATATTATGCAGATGAGTGTATTAAGGTAGATGTGTATGAGATAGATGGGTAGGTACTTGTTATCACATTCACGGGTGGGCCCAGACACATATTAAATTAGATGGGTGGGCCGAGGGTATTATACAATATTGTATTATACGGGTGGGCCCAGACGCATATTAATTAGACCGGTGGGCCGAGGGTGTTGTATGGGATGTTGTATTAGACGGGTGGGCCGAGGGTGGTATAAAATATAGATGGGTGGGCCCATGTGTATCATAATTGTAAACACGATGGAGCTGAGGTAGTTGTACATCAACCAAATCAGAGGAGGTAATAAAATCAAAGTGACCAAGTTCCTGGAGCAGCAGGTGATCTCCTGACATGGCCTTTGATGGTGCACAGGTTGTCTTGCAAAATTTGGAATCCGGGGTGCGAAGCTTGTGTTACCCTATGAGAAGCCAAGTTCCGATTACCAACCTTTGGGTCAACCGTACTCAGAGGAGGTAATAAATCAAAGTTCCCGAGTTCCCGGAGCAGCAGGTGATCTCCTGACATGGCCTTTGATGGTGCACAGGTTGTCTTGCAGAATTTGGAATCCAGGGTGTGAAGCTTGTGTTGCCCTATGAGATGCCAAGTTCCGACCACCCAAATTTGGGTCAACCATCCCGGGAGTCGACAAATGAATATCTGATAACCAGCACACTTCCAATCAGGTAGTATTTCATTGAGCAATGAATCATCCAAGGGGTCTCTTATCAGACTCGGTAGTCAATATAGGCAAATGATAATGAAAACATGAAAGTTGTTATTATGCTATTTTTCAAACCCGAGACCCTGAAACCCATTGTTCAACATGTCCATTTTTCACTCACTGCACAAATCACCAAGTTTCGAGTGCCAAAGCGTGAAACTTGAAACCCAGTGTGCAACATGTCCATTTTTCATGTACATTACACAATTCATTGAGTTCCGAGTGCCAAGTGCCGAAACCCGAACCCCGAACCCCGAGACCCGAAAATATGTATGCAACATTTCCATTTTTCACTTGTTGCACAAATCACCGAGTTTTGAGTGCCAAAGCGTGAAACTTGAAACCCAGTGTGCAACATGTCCATTGTTCAATTATATTACACAAGTCATTGAGTTCCGAGCTCCGAGGGCCGAAACCCGAACCCCGAGACCCGAAAATATGTACACAACATGTCCATTTTTCACTCATTGCACAAATCACTGAGTTTTAAAGTGCTGAAACCCGAAACTCGAAACCCGGCATGCAACATGTTGATTTTTCATTTACGTCACACAAATCATTGAGTTCCGAGGTCCGAGGTCCGAGACCCGAACCCTGAACCCCGAAAATATGTGCACAACATGTCCATTTTTTACTTGTTGCACAAATCACTGAGTTTCAAGTGCCGAAACCCAAAACTCGAAACCCGGCATGCAACATGTTGATTTTTCATTTACATCACACAAATCATTGAGTTCCGAGGTCCGAGGTCCGAGACCCGAACCCCGAACCCCGAAAATATGTGCACAACATGTCCATTTTTTACTTGTTGCACAAATCACTGAGTTTCAAGTGCCGAAACCCAAAACTCGAAACCCGGCATGCAACATGTCCATTGTTCAATTATATTACACAAGTCATTGAGTTCCGAGCTCCGAGGGCCGAAACCCGAACCCCGAACCCCGAAAATATGTACACAACATGTCCATTTTTCACTCATTGCACAAATCACCAAGTTTTGAGTGCTGAAACCCGAAACTTGAAACCTGGCATGCAACATGTTGATTTTTCATTTACATTACACAAATCATCGAGTTCCAAGTGCCAAGGGCCGAGACCCGAAGCCCAAGACCCGAAAATATGTATGCAACATTTCCATTTTTCACTTGTTGCACAAATCACCGAGTTTCAAGTGCTGAAACCTGAAACTCAAAACCGGGTGTGCAACATGTCCACTGTTCAATTATATTACACAAGTCATTAAGTTCCGAGTTCCGAGGGCCGAAACCCGAACCCCGAGACCCGAAAATATGTGCACAACATGTCCATTTTTCACTCACTGTACAAATCACTGAGTTTTGAGTGCTGAAACCCGAAACTCAAAACCCGGCATGCAACATGTTGATTTTTCATTTACATTACTCAAATCATCGAGTTCCGAGTGCCGAGGGCCGAGACCCAAAGCCCGAAACCCAACATCATGTACACAACATGTCCATTTTTCACTCATTTCACAAATCACCAAGTGTCGAGTGTCAAAACCTGAAACCCGGTACTTCAAATGGACACAAATTGTATTTGTATGTATTATCCATTGGTGTAGGGCTCAAATAACCTGGGAATTGTATTTGTCAGTACTCGGTACTTGGGACTTGGGACTTGGGACTTGGGACTTGGGACTTGGGACTTGGGACTTGGGACTGACTTGGGACTTGGGACTTGGTACTTGGCACTCAGTGATCGGTGGTCAGTGGTTGGTACTTGGGACTCGTTACTCGGTACTCGGTTCTCGGTACTCGGTACTCGGTACTTGGGACTCGAGACTCGGGACTCGGGATTCGGGACTCGAGACTCGGGACTCGGGACTCGGGACTCGGGATTCGGGATTCGGGACTCGAGACTCGGGACTCGGGACTCGGTGTAGAAACTACAATACAATGAGGAACAAAAGATGCTCCTGACTGTATCTGTAAAAGTTGTAAGGTCGCGCGCTGCCTAGTCTGCGTTACTTGAGAAGCAAGTGCGTTCGACCCTATAGGGGAAGTGAGTGCAGCAAGGATCTAGAAGTGTGCGCTTAAGCGAAGCGCGAGAAAGCGCAGGAGCGCGCAAGGTACAAAGGCGCGGGAATGCGCGCGCGTATTAGCGCGAAGCGCGGGAAAGTGCGCGCGCGTATGCGGAAATGAGAAACTAAGCTTAAGTAGTGATATAAAGCAAGATAAGAGATATAAGAGTGCAAAATGTAAAGGAATAGCTTTCTACTATATTCTGCTAAGTAGTAAGTGGGTAGTAACTAGTAAGTGAAAAGTAGGAAAAGTAAGGTAAGTAATAGTATGTACTGCTGGCGCTTATATAGCGCGCCTAAGCGCGGTCATGCGGAGCCGAAGCGCTACCGAGTAGGTATGTAAGGATATATATGAGTGAGAAACTATGATAAAAATAAAGGTGGAACTATGCTAATAAAGGAAATGGAAATATACGTACTAGGAAGCTTGGTGGACAGTGGATGGATGCATCTGAATGGCTGGCGCTATAGGGCGCGCAAGCGCAGGAACGCGCGCGCGCGTATACATCGCGAAGCGCGGGAATGGTGCGCGCATGGCGCGCGTTGCGTGGGAAAGCTGCGCGTCATATAGAGATAGCTGTGGGTAGCGCACAGAATGACGCTGCGAGTTTGTGCTGTATACTTCCTAGTGAAACCTGCCATATCACACCATGAGACACACGAGTCTCTACATCTCCCAGGGACTTAAATTCTGAGTGTCCCCACTCAGCGCGCGCATGGTGAGGATTTTGCGTGAGAGTATGCAAGTGCGATGCTTGTACGATGCTTTGGTTGTTGGGTGATGAATGTGCGAGTGCAGGAATTATCGCGTGATATGCAATGTATGCGAAAGCGCAGGCGCGCGCAAGGTGCAAAGGCGTGGGAAGGTGCGCGCGCATGGTATGCGCGAGGTGCGAGAATGTGCGCGCGCTATGCATGAAGGCGCGGGAATGGAGCATAGCATGGTGGATTGCGAGGGTGACTCTGATGTGAATAATATGCCATGGGTGTGGGGCGATGATGCGAGAGTGATATGGATGTGGCGCGCAAGGTGTGGGCGAGATGCGCGCATATGGCGTAAAGCGCGGGAAAGCGCGCGCGCACAAGGCGCGAGAAAGCGCGTGATTGTCGCATGTGTTGTATGGTGGGTATGATGCAAAGTGGCGCAGTCCAGGAGCGATCCAATCCATGTCCAGACCAAGTCCTGCTAGGCGCGCTAAATATTAGATGCTAAAGGTTTGAACATTGTGAGTAAAACTATATGTGAAAATATGAAGGGAAAATGGTAGACTTTGCGGATGTCCTATCCGACTTGTCTTCTTCGTGCAGCTGTCAACATCTACACCTTCCTATGAGCAAGGCGTGGGAAGCGCGCATGTGTGCGCGCGCGAGGCGTATGGGCGCGTGAATATTGCGCGCGTATGTGCGTGTGAGCGTGGGAAGACTGCGCGCATATGTGCGCGTTCTAAGGTAAAAAGGGGCATGGTGCCGCGTCATGCGTGCGAAGAGAAAATAATACTATTGAGCTAGGCGGGCACGATCTATGGTTGTTTTTCTTCTATGTTCTTCTAGGCAATCCCTATATGCATATATATCAGTGTGTTATTAGTCTTTTGGACACTGTTATAATGAGAGAAAATGAAATGAAAGAGCGCTGGACGAAACCCAGGGTAAAACAAACAATATCCTATGAAACAGTGTTGGTATATGTTCCTCCTTTGATGCGCGGCTGAGGCGCTTGATCCTCCTCCTTGAGCGCGTGCGAGTGCGCGTGACTAGCGCGCTTCGCGTCTCTTGCGAGCTGACGCTTTACCCAAGGTAGGGTTGGAATGAGCGAGGCTGGCGCGCTTGGGGGGGGCTTGTAACTGGCAGAATGAATTCCTGCACAACGCGCTGCAGGTTGAAGGCGCGCCAATGGGAGGCGCTGCAAGGGGTGTAGGGGCGCCCTACAAGCTGATAGGATGCGCGCGATGTGCGCGCCTTGGTGCGATTTCGCGCGAATTTAATTATATTGGCCGAACACGCGAGGAACGGCCATTTCTCTGCAAATGCATTAGCAAGAGACATGTATAGT